ATATATATAAATTATTTTCACTACTCGTCTTTTTTATTTTGCTATATTGATCATGATATGAATTGAGTTTAAAGAAAGAAGTAAAAATTCATATCGCCGGCTCTAACTTTATCGGGGGCTGAGGAGTAACTGTTGTTATTGTAATTTCCATCATGCCAAATGCCATATATGTTAGAAAGAAAATAAACCAAAAAAGAAGGAAAACTTTTCCGCTGGTCCATGGGCCAACCAAAGCTTGGTTATCTTATATTTTCGAGAGAAATTGGCATGTATATGCCAGCCGGGTAAAGATTGGAACAAAATAGATCCCTTTCTCTTTATTGGCATATTTAACCCAATATGTCTTGAAACTGACAGCTTATAGCTGAGTTCCATCACCCGCCATCTTCTGCATTGTCGACAGTATGTCGATCTCTTCCACCTAAAAGCATTGACACCATGATTGTGAAATATGAAAGTTTAAAAAGTGAATATAACATTAAGTACATTGTTTGAGTTTGAAAAGACCTAAAAATACTATTAAAGACCATTGATGCTTGATTCAAAAAAATTCAATATGCGTAATTGTGATTTATTTCGATCGGGTGATATTAGATTTTGTTGGAATCTTAAGGAGCTTGAAATCTGGAATTGTTTGGAGAATATTTCAGTCGTATTTGAGCTAATTTCATATTGAAAACTCGATGTTAAAGACAATTTCATCCATGTGTATCCTCTATATATTCATGTATTTTTCCATATATATCAATGTATATCATCATATATATATATATATATATATATATATATATATATATATATATATATATATATATATATATATATATATATATATATATATATATATCCATTTTTCTCTTGTATATCATGTATATATGTATATATATTCAAGAAAAATATATGCATGATATACATTGCTATATATGATATAAAACGTGATATACATATGCACAAAAATATTTTTTCAAAGGAACAAACCTGGCTGTAAAATGAATAGTGAAAGAAAGAAAAAAAAGGTCAAAGAAATACTTAATGAATAAAGAGAACAATATGCAAAAGCCAAAGAAGGAAATGTATGCTGCACCAAAAGTCAACATCAGCAA